TAGCTGGTGATCTCGCCCTCACCTCTCTGCCCATAAAGCGTAAGTCCCGTCTCCCATCCCCATCATCAACCCAGCGCGGTATTCAGCAGTTCAATGTTTGTCTGCTTTCGCAAACGTGATGTTTGCTGTACCTCCACTTCACACAACTCTTGCACCTCTGCCGCAAGGCGGGGTAATTAGCAGTTCGATCCGAACGGGCACTTAGCAAGCTGCGGTTTGTACATCCCACCAAGCAGCACCCAGCAAATGCAAGATGGCCATCTGACTGCCTTGTTGAGCCTGTTGCCCACCGAAGGGGAGGTATCGCTATATGCTGTTCGGGGAGCCGCTGATGGTGTGGATTCATTGCAAATTTATCCCGGACTCATTCCATTATCCTTCGAAGTATATGTTCTAAAAAAAAAATGTTTCTTGTTCGGTCCGTTCGGAGAACACACAGCCACGTACGTGTAACCTGTGACCAGAGACAGAGCGTTCCACACCTCCACACTCCACACCAAGTCAAAAGACAGAACAGGACACGATACAGCCAGCAAACTGCTGTTCTTGGGTGTAAAATTCTTCTGATTTTTCTCGAAGGTTGGTTTTTTTAACACTTTCAATATGTAATCTTTAGGGCTAACCGAGGTTGATTTTACTGACTGAAGCCGGTTGTGCCATCAACTACTCTCCCCTTTTGCACAGGCGATGCTGCCCCCGATCTGATCTTCGAAGCCTGCGGAGACAAAATTCAACGTACAACGACCATCACCTGTCAAGACTCTGGGTCGGGCGCGACCTGCTATGATGGCCACGAGCTCGACCTCTCCTCCTGCTGAGGCTTATGGATCTAGCTCGCTGAGCTCATCAGCGGCGCAAGCTGCCCTTCTCGCCGAGATGTTCACGCTCAAGTGTGAAACCGGCATCTTGGTTGTCGGCCTCCAAGATGGGGAAGCACTCTGGACCCCTGTTCGCATCTTGTGCACACTGGTGACGGTGTCAGTTGCCTCTGCATGGATAAGCCGTCGCAAGTCCATCAAGAAACTCCTTATCTTCTTCAGTCACTGGCTCAGGTATGTGTACAACAAACAAGAAGTCGACACTCTTGCAGAGACACGAGACGAGATATTCTATGTATGTAGATGCGTATACGTAGCTATTTAGATGCTTGGTTGCAGATAGATGAGATCGACCGACACGATGGCATGGTGTCGGAACATCGCATTGCGATGTTATGTACTTCTTTTTTGGTTGCTGTCCGACCAGCCCTTTTTCAGAACTTGCGTCAATCATCCGGCACAGCTGGGCTGCGAAGGCAGTAGACCACAGCAGTAGAGCAATAGTGATACCGTTGCGCTTATTGGTATCGGACGACTGCTGCTGCGCGCGTCTGTGCATATCATACGTTGGAGAGGACTTTGTTTTTGTGTACAGGACGATCTGTACCTACATACATACATCTCTGTGCACAGGTAATCTGCAGCGTGTCTATTCTCGCACAATTGTGCGATATTTCTCCGGACAAGGAGCAGCACTCATCTTCCAGTAAACACTGCATCGGTGTCTCGGCCTTGGCAGCCTCCTGGTTGTTGCGGATCAGGTGGTGCTGTGAAAATCGGTCTATCGTTGGTGGAGAGGTGGGAATCACTCGCAACCTTCCGACAAGCAGCCTCAAGGTAGACTAGTTGTGGTTTGTGCAAAAAAGGCTGCTGTACAGACAGCAGCAGGGAGGGGTACTGCTTGTAGAGAGTACAACAACAACAGACGGAGAACAAGATGCGGGGTGCTTCCACTTCTGTGCTATGCGTACCATGCCTTCCCACGCGTGTTTTGTTCGCGCATGAGCAGTGGGACATACGGAGCATGGAGACAGTTATTTTCGTAAGTTCCTACGAGCACCTGGGCACACACTTGTTGTATGCGAATGCTCACGTCTACTGGTTTCGACGATGCGCGGGCTACCTTCCATGCTTACACGAAGTTGGCATGAAATATGCGTTCTGGTTTCTTGTAGAGGATAGAGGCTAGTCTACAGTACTCGATACAGCAGTGGTGGCTGCGGTTTCAAGAGAGGATCGGAACACGCCAGGTTGAAGACAACTTTGACGCTGGCTCTTTTTCTCATACTTGAATCCAATAGCATACAAAGAGAGATAACAACGTTTCCGCCAGGGTTACCTGGTGCATTCTGCCGTCATCAGTAGAGGACACCATGAAGAGGCGTCTCGCGTGCTGACACGTTCAGGTTTGCTACTGGAGCTGAAATATCGAAGGTCTCAGCAGCCTCTGAAAACAGTCCGCAATCTACGCCGGAACAACCGGATGTGTCACTGGCGTGCTCGCCATCAGTGACCAAGGTTCTGAACTGCGGGTTTACAGCTGTAGCTGAGCACTAGCTACTGCTGACAACCCTTCGTTCAAGGGCTTACGGTCCGTGGCGGTGAGCACGGCTGTGACAAATGTTGGATTCCGGATGTTCCGGCGTAGATTCCAGACTGTTCGCAGAGGCTGCTGCGACCTTCGATATTTCAGCTCCAGTAACAAACCTGAACGTGCCAGCACGCACGCACGACGCCTTCTTCATGATGTCCTCTACTGATGAAAGTGGAAACCCAAAGCTAACCCTCAAAATCTACCTTATTTGAGCGCCTGCCATTTTGGCTGTTCTGGCTTGAATTTAGAATTGTGTGAATTTTGATCTTGATTTTCAAAGGGGGCGTGTGGAGGTAGACGCGTGAATGTATGTTTTGAGCAGCTTCAATGGCCTCCCTGCGCGAGAATCAACGATCTCTGTTTTTCGAGAGGTGCCGACTGGTCTTGTGTATCTCGTGTGCATTTTTCTGGTGCTCTTGCGTTATTTTTCAAAATTGGTCAACTTCGAAATTCTCACTTCTTTGTCTTCAACCCCATTCAATCCGGTCTCTCAGTTACCCGTTTCAGACAGACGTATCTTAAACCGTAGCCAATTAACTTAAGGCCGGTGTACAGCGCGGATGCCTTGCCTACACTGCCATATGAAGATGCTCATGATGGAGGGCATGAAACATATCGTAAAAGAAACACTGCGTCGTCGTCAGCGACTTCTTGTGCTTGCTCGGTAAACACTGCGTACGACAAACACAGCGAACCATGAAAATACCTGAGAAAAAATGAGGCAGATATCTAATGTGTCGGATACATGATGGGTCTTTGGTCTCGGATGAATAACAAAGACGAGCTCGATCAGTCTGAACAAGCAGAAACGGGCGACTCCTCGGGGGCAGCCGTAGTGCGTCCGCCATGTACTCAGGGGTAGCAGAACACTGTCATTGCTGTTTCCTCGAGGATATCGCCCAGCAAGAAGTTCGGCATGCACGAGGCCATGTTTGCAAGGCTACGGTAGCTTGTATTAGCGAACAGGCGTCCATGAAAGCAAAACAGACGCACACGACTTCATGTAACGTGGCACAAGGGTAGGAGAGAGTTGCAAGGCCGGGACCGGGGAGGCGTACAGATAGCTAGCTGGGTCGTAGACACGGTGCATGTCGTTCAGACGCTGTTTTGGTGCGTCGTGAAGTCTGGCTGGGGCTTCTGTGTGATGGGAGACACTCAAGCAACGGCTGCCCATTGCCCAGGGGATGGTATCTACTTTTTTGGGTGTGTATCATGTGCGACCAGCACACGACTGGATTATGGCAAGTTCTCTCTTATTTCGGTCAAAGGCGTGACAAGCCAGTTTTACTCTCGACAACCCGTATTTTCTGTTAATTAATCTCTCTTCAACCGTCGCCACCACTGCATGGTACAACACACAACACGCACCACCGCTTAAGTAGCAGTTTAGAAAATGAGCCCGAAAAGATCCGACATCTAACAACAGGTGCTCCGTCAAGAACCCTACACTATTGCTGTAACACGTATACATCTACTTCAAGTATACCAGGTAGTCGCGTTGGAGGTACTAGACGACGAGCCTCGGACGACCGGATCTTCGAGACTGGTGCATCCGCCGCTTCCCGGCTAGGTCAAATGCTACATACCAACGGCGGAGGACACACACACTAGTATTGGATATCGATTCAATAACCTGTGAAGACAACAACACATCCTGTTTGGAGGAGGGCAGCTTGTCGTCAAAAGCGCAGGGAAGAAGGTTGACTCAAGAACTTGCATCATTCACGAGTGCGCAGGGCATGCTTGCCCAATTATCGAGAATGCCATTGTGTTTTCCTGTTTTTTTCGATCCTCGACATCGGTACGATATGTACTGCTGTAGCACGAAGTAAAAAGCAGTGTCGATAGCGAATGGGACGTGTCTCCAGCGATGTGTGTTGAATCAAATCCGTTGTTGCCCCATGTGTTTTTCCGGGGATGCAGCCATACCCCGTTACTGGTGATGTGGCCGGGTAGGTAACAATTGAGAGGGGGGATATTCTCGGTCGGGTTATTTCGTACCGGTAGCCATCTACAAGATAGAAAGGGCAAGACGGAGCCAGACTGCGCGACCCGAAGACCTCTGCGGGGCGCACGTCGACATCATGAGCGTGTTGGCATGGTGATAGAGAGGCTATGTTTTTCTACAAAATATGACTTTACTCCATCACCCCCACTACTACAACTTCCGTGCAGAACACAACCCTTTTGCTCTTGGCAGTTCGGCGTCTGTCCGTCCCCCTTTAGTTCGACCACCACGACCGCCAATCGTCGCAAGGGGAACTATCCAGATTCAGAAGGGTGGGATGGGCTCGTGTACATGCGTATATCTCTTGCTTTGGAGGCGTTCTTTCTACTTCCACCACCGAAACAGGTGGCATCTGCAGTCCACAGACCACCCGCCGTTTTTCTCCTCGTGCGATCATCTACATGTGCTACAAAGACGGCTGACAATCCCGAACCCCTCCTCCACGCGCGTCTCCTTCATCCTTGACGACGGTTTCAATATGGAAACCTCACAATGGTGCCGCCGACGGCGACACGGTTTCCTCCAACTCTACAAAACCAGTGGCCTGCTGTATGAGCTCATGATTGTGACGCAGGGGACCATGATATCGGTGTGCTGGGTCGGAGAACGTCTCGAGGGATTCATCAAGGCCTTGAAATACCTGGAACAAACGTCGTCGAACATGCTCGCCATCACCAACCTCGCCATCTGCATCAACCTCGCCCTGGTCGTGAATGTCAGTGTGCTATTGTTCACATTATCTGCTGTTCTGGTTTATTTTTCTGCCCTTCAGTCGCATCTTTCTCGCCCATTTTGAGGCCTTGCCTCTCTAATAGAAAAGTTCCCATCCGGGGGGCACACAGACAAGGGACCACACACATAAGAAACCCTCGACCGCCCCGCATGTCTCAATCGTTTCTCTCGAGAAGGGTTCAGCCGCGCTTGGCCTCGAGGCTATTGGGTTAGACTGTTTTTGCGCGAAATACGGAACATGTGGACGTTCACATCTCAAACCCCGGGTTCATGTAGAATGTAGAAGTGCCGCTTGGTAGTGTTCGAGGTTGCAAACGCGCAAGAGTTTGCCACCTGCACAATTCCGAGAATAACCGTTTTCGTTGTTCTACATAGTGGAAACGACTAATACACCACTCCCGCCGCCTTTGGGGTGTCATTGTTGCTGCCCGTATTATAGGTTCTCTACCCGCTGCTAGCCATTCCCGAAATTTGGCCGGCTAGCCTTCCCCACCTAACCCTGGGCCCAACCCTATCCTATCCCTAAAATTCGCAAACACGCAGTCCCATCGCACACTGTCTCGTGTCAAAAGCGTGAGCACGCCCGCGCTGGTGTTGCTCTTCTTAGCTATCTCCGTGATCGCAGCCGCTGCTTCGGTGCCCTTCTGGAGCATCACGGTGGTCAGCGGGACAGCGTTTTGGGTGACCAACGCCGACAAGGTGCGGGCGTTCTTCGAAACAATTCGGTGTCCTGAGCCCGTCAAGTTGTCATGCTGGCGTTCGTTTTTCTCGCGGGTATGACTAGTCCTGGTTTGTCGGCCGGTAACGGAGGCAAGGCAAGCAAGTCTCCTGGAGGGTGCACAAATGTACTGTAAGAATGCCCGTGTAATGCGGTCCGTGTATAGACCACCTGTCTTGAAGGAGGAATCATCCACCCTTGAAGATGCTTTCCCGAGAAAGCTGGCGTTTCCGGAACTCCCCATGACCTTCCCGAAGTGGCCCTCACGAAGTCCAACGTACATACGTTGAGAGCGAACCCCGCACGTTGAGGGCGAACCCCGCTTTACAAACAATCAAACGGTAGTACTGAGAAGTGCCTGTAGAAATTAGCTGCTGATCCTCTGCTTCAGGTGGTTCCTTACCCTTCTTCACCGTTCTTCCGGCATCCTGTCCTCCGACCGGTTTACCGTGTTTCGCATCTCTCTTGGAATGGTCTGCCTGGGACAATCGACCTGTGTATCGGGATGGCGACGACGACAACAACATCAGGCCAAGGCGGACTGGATCATCGTCTCGATCATCATCCTCGAGTTCGTCGTCGGCATCTGCATGTTCGTCATCGTGTCGTGGCTTATGGCGTTCCGGATGCAGGCGATCAAGGAGTGCTGGAAAATCCACGCCCGTATCCGCTACTACTTCGTCCTGACCCTCATCGCCACCGCAGTCAACCTGGCTCTCGGGATTAGCGGGTTAAGCTACGTCTTCCGCGACAACGCGGGGTGAGTGGTTGTGGTATCGATGGGGCAGGTCACAAGTCCGGGAAGCGCTTAACTATAAGAGAGAAAACTTAAGACTGGACAGGTAAGCGATTGTTGTGAGACGGCAAAATGAGGAAAATAGATGTTCGGTGTTGATGGTCGTGTAGCATGCACAAAAGAACGTAGCGGCACGAAAAAGCGTGGGAAAAGAGCCCCACCCCAGTCGATGGTCCCCCCTGCCCTTGGCAAACAGCCAAAGGTGGAGGGAAGGAAAACACTGGTGTCACCTTTAGGAGTAGCAAATCAAGTCCCCCCCCTGACATACGCCACGAGGGTTTGTTCATGTTTTATTCTTCGTTTGTCCCTCTTTGACAAAATGTGAAATGAAAGCTGCGTCCCTGAAAAGTCGAAACCAAGATTGTATACAGCTTTGCATTTTCCATCTGTGGTCTCTTTGAAGGTCCAGGAAGGACACCTCTTGACCGCTCACCAGGGTAGAGAAACGACTCGACGGAAGGGAAAACGGGTGTTCGGAGGTGCTAGGGGTGCAACCTAAGTATATCGCAGCATCTTTTTTGTCCTCCGACGTTCGGCATGTTGTGTTTTGTGTTCGTGGCGTTCAGGCTCACACTGCTATCACAAGTTCTTCTCTTGTCTACTGAAGAAGCACGATGCGACATCGCACGAAAGTAAGACTCCGCCTGCCCCCAAATCGATCTCCTTCTCCCGTCCTTCCTCCCGCCCGCCCCGCCTCCTCGTGCCTCCCGTTCACGCTGTACCGAATTTGTTTGCCCCCAGGGAATATCTATTGTCTTTGACATGGGCGTTTCGTTACGCGCACGTCGCTCTCGACACCATCGTCCTCTACGGAGTGCTTGGCACGAGGCACATGGATGAGGGGGGCGTCTCTACTGCTTCCAACTCCGGGACAAGCTCTGGACGTTTGCCTGCTAACTCGGGTCTTCCTCGTCCGAGTAACCACCGTGGCATGAAAAAGCAGAGCGGGGTGAGCAACACAAGCTCGAAAGCAAGCGGCAGTGCCGTCTGCTCGACTCAGGGTCCCCGCCAAGTTAGACCGACCCGTTCTGAACTGCTACTTGTATGATTGGAGGAATGATGATTGATATTTGCGGCTTGAAGGCGTGGTCGTGGTATCATCAGGCATGGGCACTTTGCGACTACTGCAGGCGCTCGCTGCTGCAGTTCGGGTTGTTGCACGAGTTAATGTGCGGGTCACGTTCTGCCAGAGATCCCTCTGAGGCCCATCAGCAGGATAATCAGCGGAGAATCATGACTTGTCAGACTCATGTCCGCCATGCCAGCCTTGGTAAAGGTTCGTGCGAGCTTCTTCTGCGTGCTCTTGGCTTAGCACAACTCACTGCTAGAGTCAAGTGTAGGGGTGTAGGTTATCCATAGTGTGTAAAGTGTACGTCGCTGTCGGATGGATTCCTACCGTCACGTACAGCCTCATGGAAACTTGTTTTAGACTACCCATAGTCTGTCAAACTTAGGGTTAGTTAGGAACATTGTGGGTGCGCAGATTCGCTTGGTTTAGATGTACTGTCTTGTAAGTATGTGCTGCTATGTTTCCTTTTTGGTGCACGTTGTTCATTGTACTGTAGCATACACGGGCGCTTATACATATCACGAACGAACACGTCGGGGTGGGTACGGGCCTTCGTGCCATCAGTGGGGCACTGGCGGTCGGGGGGGGGGGGGGGGGGGGGGGGGGCAAA